GGGCCGGCGCCTCCGAGACCCCGGGGAGGGGCAGCGCCCGGCCCGGAGCCGCCTGCCGAGCGGGAGGTGGCCGGGGCGGGTCCCGGCTGGCCCCGGCGCCGCCAAGGTCGTTTCCCGCGGGAGGAAGGAGAGCGGGGCCGGGCCTGGTCCGGGGGAAGCCGGGGAGGCCCCGCTGGCGGCGGTGGAAAGGCTGGGGAGGGGGCTGGGAGAGGCTCGGCTTCCCTCGGGACACCGCGGTCTGGAAGCGGGAAGCTGCGGGTTGCCTGGGCTTGACAGGTGCCACGGCTCGAGGTCGCGGTTGGGTTTTGGTGCTGGCCGGTTTTTAGAGAACAAAGCACATGCCGGGAGCGGTGTCAGAATTTATCCAGGTGAATGGAAGGAAATGGGAGCAATAGCTCCGGCAGCGCAGTTCCCCTCTCCTGCTGCTGGGGGGGAGCTGACAGGTAGGAGCAGCCTCAGTGGTGTAAAAAAGCAACGCTGTTATCACAAATGATTAATATTTGAGGGATTTATTTTGGGCACGAGGAGGAAGTAATGCCCAGTAGGAGTTTCCAACAAACGCTGGAACCTTACCAACATTTTAATCCCCGTGAAGGAAACGAGATACTCAAATTGTGTTTCACCTCTTCATCTCTACGTACTAACTCTTACACTAAGACCTGCTTTTTGCAGTAAAAGCACAAAACAGCTGATAGACTTCTGTGAGATAATGAGAGAACAGAATAAGGGACCACACTGGTGTTTTCACAGGCTGAAAAAATACAATTTTGTTTCCTTTAAAAACTTGTTCCATCAACAGACTGCTATAAATACAGATTTTTTTTTTATTTTGACATCCACAGTAATTGAAGAGCGTAAAAATGGTAACCTGCAATAATTTGTTCGTGTTTTTCACTTCAGAAATGGTGGGACTAATTACAGTATTTTCCTGCTTGCTTTTATTGAAATCCAAGAGAGTTGGAGGGGAGAATTCAGAGTTCCTCATTTGAAGCAGGAATTGTTAAACCATACACCAAAAAAGGCTCTCAGATTTGTGTCTTAGCATCTAAGGCCCCATTCTGCCATCCTTGCCTTAGTGTCTTGCAAGAAATCCAGGATGGACAGTACAAAAATTGCTCTAATATGAAAGGGGAAGAAAATAAGACCATGAAAGCCATCCTGTCAGAATAAAAAAAGGAAAAAAAAAAAGACGGTGGGGGTAAGATTTTCTTTTCAGCTAATCATTGTGAATAATGAAGGATGTTTATAAGCGTAAAACCATTAAAGCCATCCTGTCAAAATAAAAAAAGGAAGAAAAAGAGACGGTGGGGATAAGATTTTCTTTTCAGCTAATCATTGTGAATAATGAAGGATGTTTATAAGCAACTCCCATCTTTGAATTGATAGCAAAAGCAGAGCATTTAGGATCTGTCATCTTTCCCACCCCCCCTTGCCATTAGCAAGAGGTTAAAATACTTGCAGGGTTCTGCAGCCTTCAGCAGTGCTCGCACTGACTCATGCTTGGAGGCTTCTGAATGCTGCACTAAAGAGGGCTTTGCATCAGGTCCTGTGCCATTTGGCAAACAGAATGAACAGGGAATTCACCATTCAATGACAGATGAAAAATAAAAAAACCCCACATATATATATACACACACACATACCCCTCTTCAAAGAGCTGAAAAGGGTGGGGATCTCAGGGCAGACATTGTCTTTTTGTGGCTGTGCCTTCTTTAGCAGCAATAATCTGACAGAATTGACACAGAAATTGAGCTCGTGAGGTAGGGCATGATGGCTTGTGTCTGGTGAGAGTCTAGAAGCAATCATCCCGTGCTGCTGTACAGCCTTCCACGGGGGGTTTGCACACCCTTCCAGGGACAGCAGCCCAGGGAATATTTCATCCCATCACAGCACTGCAGCTTTCCCAATGTGCAGCAGGGTTTTCACAGCCCTGGCAGGGAAGCAACAGTTCTGTGAAGCTTTTACTCTTAAAGTCTCAATTTCACAGCTACAGAGAGAGGTTTGGAAACGCAGCCTGCTGGCCAAAGGTGATTTCTCTCTGAGGTGGTTTGGTTTGGGTTTGGTTGTTGAGGATGGTGCTTGCTTCAGCTGAACAGAGCTAAGCTGCTCCTCAGTTAGACTGGGCTTAGAAGTTGCAGCACTTCTACCAAACTGCTCCAGGAGTGCTCACAGGTGAACGGGGGCCTCGTAGACAAGGATCAGCATTCCTGCCTTGGAGATCCAGCAGCTCTCCCCCTGTAATTGTGTGGGGTAGGACTGCAGGAAGTGTGTCATGGGTTTGGCTCTGGCTGCAGCTGGGAGAACCAAACCACAAAACGCAGAGCAAAGGGAGCTCGGGCAAGCAGCTCTGCTTGAGGTGTGCACTGTGCCTGAAGCTGGGGTAGGTCCCAGGGGCTTGGTGCAGATCTCCCACCCTTGTCAGCAGGGAGTAATTCCCCTGAAGCTCACGGGTCTGAAGTTTCAAAGCCTGAATCAATTCAGGGTCCGGCAAGATGGCCTGATCCATCCTTTTTCACATCTGTGCACATCCCAAGCAGTCAGAAATCCTTGATCCCATGCAGGTGCCCTGCTGACATAAGCTTCACTTTCAGCTGCATCTTCTAGGGAGCATCAGAAAGTGTCTATCATGTTGAGGGAAACAATTGCTAAAAATATTTGTTCTTCTGAGCATAATTGAGATTATTTTGTTGATAGTTTCACACAAAGACCTTTGGAGCCTGGCTTTTTTACTGCATCACAGCCATATACAAAATAAGATTGTTTAGTTAGTTATTGACCTTAGGGAATACCTTTAAAAACCTGCAAATACTCACTTTTAAGTGAATAAAAGCGGTGAATTTCCTCCATGTATGTTTGCTTTTTGAACACATTCCCATCAATTAGATTAGTGGCTAGAAATGTTTATGGAAAGATTTTTAAGCCCATTTTAGAGGGTATTCATGGAAAGCAAAATTTTTCTCAAAAACATAGTCATCTTACCAGGTGTTAATTTATATTCTGGGAATGTGAACCAGTATTACGTGTTTGATTTGTTCAGGATTTTAGCTCTGCTGTTTATCCAGTCTTCTCTCCTTTTCTGCCATGCTGATTCCTAGTCCTCTGCTGTGCCAGGCATGGAGAACTGAACATTTTATTCGTTCACTTCACACCTTCTGCATTTCCCTCTTCAACAGAGGGCTTCTTTCTTGAGCAACAGTGAAACTAAACCGCTATCACAAAGCAAACTTGGGGCCCTGGAATATAAAACCACTCCCTGCAATATTTAAATTCCTTTGAAAACCATCCTCTGCCACAGGCCTATAAACATTGTCCAGCTGCAATGAGTTTATTGATTCTTGGAAACCATCTGTATTTAGCAAAGAAATAACAATACTGTGTGCTGAAACAGAGATACTTGCCATTTTATAAATTTCATTTAGATATTGGGTGCTTCTGATCTACTACTCTGTGAAATAGAACTGGGAACAAAGGTATACCAGTGTAATATGCCTACTTTTAAAAAATGACATCTTTCTAAATAATTATGTGAAAAGTATTTGGTTTATTACAGGACAAACAATTTCTGTTGTTTGACAGATTGAGATTTAAGTTTAATGTCATTAACTACCATCACATAATTATGCTCATGTGCATTCTCCAAAAGTTTAGCATCACATTCCCAATCCCTTTGCTTTGCAAATGACCAGGAGAGAAGATCCAGAGCTCTTGTTGCAAGAAAACAGACCCTCCTTTATCTGAAGGCAAAATAATCTGCAATGTTTATCCCTAAATCATGCAATTTATACACATTTGGAAGCTGTTCTTCACCTTGGACTGTGTTCTTCTGTTGGTTATAATGTTTTCTATGTTTTCAGCTGTCCAGCGTGTGTCTCCCCACACAGCACTGCCAAACACCAACTTCTATAATTTTAAAACTCAAATTACTTCACTATTATCTTTTAAATGCTTCTGCTCACACAGCTTTATTGCCTGGTTTACAAACATTTACAACCGAATCCGTGAATGCATAACAGACTGAGTTGCT